ATATGATCCTTTGGTTGCTTGTTAAATTTCAGTGTCATTTAATATCAGACCTAGCAAAATTCTTGTTCCATCATAGGATGACTTAAACTCATCAAACCGTAGCCAAATCTTAACATTACCTTAACCCCCCATTACTGATTTTTAAAATCAACATCCATATTTTTTTTCTTTTGCATCCTAAATCAGTCTCATTGACCCTCTTACACCTCTCAAATATAAACCCTAGCTATACTAACAAAGTGATAAGTGCTGGAAGCCGATCAAGAACTTATCATGGAAGAGATGCAATAAGAATTTTGTCGACTTCAACAAAGATGTTGAGAGATAACCGTCAATCGTGATATATAATTCAAAGAGTAGAGGGAGAGAGTTCTGAATTCCTTCCATAGGGGTGATTTCAGAGAAGAGAATGATAGGCCACTATGCTTTGGGATTCAATTTTTGAGGAGGCCAAGGGATGGAGTGACTATTGAAGGACATAGAGACATGGGGGTGAAGCTAGACTTATCGGATTTCGAGGGGAGGATGAATCCAAATAATTTTATCAAGTGATTACAGACCGTTGAGAGGATTTTTGAGTATAAGGGGGTACCAGCTGATAGGCGAGTGAAACCTGCTACCATAAAGCTGGAGAAGAGTGCATCTTTGAGGTGGGAGAATAGGAAAAGAGAGACAGGGAGGTAGGTACAAGATCTTTACTTCAGAGAGAATGAAGAAAGATATATAGAGGAAATATCTACCCCCACAGTTCTGCCGGAACATGTTCTTTAGGCCACATCACTTACATCAAGTGGAGTTATTAGTAGAGAAGTTTGCAGTGACATTTGAGCAGCTCATGCTGAAATGTGAGTTGAGGGAGCCATAGGAGACAACCATAGGTAGATATTTGGGAGGCCCGAAGTCAGCCATCAGCCATGTCATTCAGTTGCAACCTAATTGGTCATTGAGTGATGTTCAAACATTGGCCCTGAAGGTAGAGAAACAGTAGAAACAAATCAAGACCTTGTTATTATTCAGACAATCACCCATAGTAGGAGGAGCTAGTATGAGTGAACTTGAGGAAAGTGTGAAAACTGTCCAGAAAGATGATAGAGCTAATCAGAGTGGGAAGAAGCCCAAGATGAGAAATACACCCAACATAATGCTTGCAAAGATGTGTTTCAGATGTCAAGGGTTTGGACACTTTGCCTCCAGTTGTCCTATTACCATAGTTGTGTCTGTCACTGAGCATGTAGTAATAGAATAAGTGGACATTGGTGCTAGAGACATAAACGATTGTTATGATGTGCAGTACCAGCTTCTAGCTAATGAGGGTGCGATGCTTGTTGTTCGACGACTCTTTCAGGCAAAGGCTACGAGAGAGCAACTTTGCTTTCGCCACATCTTTTATATCCATTGCACTGTGAAGGGAAATGTATGCAACCGTATTATCGATAGAGGTAGTTAAAATGTGGTGTTTACACAGATGATGGATATGTTGAGTGTCACTACTCAGAGACAATCCCAATCATATTCTCTGATTTGGTTGAAGAAGGGGAACAATGTTAGGATTGATAGAAGGATGCCTCCTAGAGTTTTTAAGTGAGGATCAGTTGCATGACCAGGTGTGGTGTGATGTTGTGACCATGGAAGCTCATCACATTTTGTTGGGCTACTGTGATAGTTTGATCATTAGACTCATCGTAATGGGTTCAAGAGCACTTGATCATCAAGGATGAGAAGCTCATAGTTTTCCTACCTTCTGCAGAGTTCAAGTTTATATGTGCACTTGTCAAGAGGGGCCACAGTGGGATCAGTTTTGGTTATGTTAGGGGGTAGTGAGATAGAAGAGCTAAAATCAGACACAAGACAACCATTACAGAGAGAGTTTCATTAAATCCTGACTAACAACTTACCGCTAGGATTGCCACCGTTAGGGGAGGTTTAGCTTATCTTAACTTCAGAAAGGAATGAGCCAATCTCTAGCTACTTTGGGAGGACTCTGCGAAGTACATTTGATGTAATGTTCCAGTTCAGTTCAATAATGTAACAACAGATAGTTGGACGAATAGAGATGGTTAGTCACAATTTGGGAAACCTTTTCTGTTGTTTTGTGGGACAGTGCATCTGATAGTGGAATCTAGGTACTTTCAGAGATGCAATTGAAGGCGCTCTAATCCTGGGAGGTTAGAGATGTCAAAAATTGACCCGATACACGAACATGACTTTAACTCAACTAGAAAAAATTCAGGTTAGGGTTAACCTGAATATTTTGCAGTTCGGGTTCGGGTTGAGTTTTTTCGACCTGTTTATTATTCGAATCAGGTTCGACATGACTTAATTCGGGTCGATTCATTTTCGGGTCGGGTCCGTACCTGACCCGCTGACACTAGTTGACATCCTTAGGTGTCAAAAATTGACCCGATATGCCAACAAGACTTTAACTTGACTCGAAGAATCTGTGTTAGGGTTGAACCGAATATTTTTCGAGTCGAGTTTGGTTTGAGTTTTTCGACCCATTTGTTATTTGGGCCGGGTTGACCCGATTCAAGACGGGTCATTTTCGGGTCGTACCAGGACCCGACCCGCTGACTGAAATTGACATCCTGATTGGTGGTTATGACCGTTCCACCACCGTCAATGTGGCCAACTTGACACCATATAATGAGAGTCAGAAGCTTTGATAGATGAGGGAGAAGGGCAGTACCTTGGACTAGTGCGGTCCATGTTGAGGGAGGGCCGGTCGACCATCTCTAGGTCTAAGCAGGGCCCGCTCCTAATATAAGTAAGTCAATTCAGGTGTTTCTTAGATGTTTAGTATTTAGTTTTTGATCAATTTGAGTTTGTAAAGCCTCTTATTTCTCCTTTTTAGGGCTGTATCTAAGGACCCTGAGTGATGCTCCGACTGCATCTCATTCTTGAGATGGTGTATCCCCTTCTACTCTTCCCCCATTCTCTCTTGCATCAATTTCCTTCACCCTCGCCGTTTTCCAACTTGGTCCCACCTTATCGAATAACTTGGCATGCTGTTAACCCCCTCCCCTCGACACCACTTACACCTACATCCAACTCTAATTCTAGTTGTGTTGTTTTATTGTAATTTCATATTCCCTTGCTGTTTGTTATAATTTAAGAAATTTGAATTTAGTAATAATGTTTGTTTTCTTATTGTTGTTTGTTAAATTTTGGTATCACTCGTGCTGATGTTGCTATTTCAAAAATTTTCACCATAAGTGTTCATCGCGAGCTTGATGGTTGCTAGCTTTACTGTTATCTCAGGCGAATTGTCCTTATATTCGAAGATCCATTATACTGATGGAAACACTTGATAAATCCTATTGGCTCCGTGCGACCACTAAAATCCGACAAGTGTACTTTTACTCCAAGATCCCAACTTCTCTAATATTCCATTCCAAATCATCGGGGTATTAGTTCTTTGTCACTAGAAGCTTCCCGATAGAAGGGATTCACTTTATCTTCTTGATATAGAGAGTTACCAATGTGGCTATGGGTGACCTCACCGGATTGTCTCCTTTCAAAAATGCCAAGTGCTATTGCAGTTGAAGGATTACGTGATGCATATCCGTCATAGTAAGTCCTGGAAATCTTTTTGTGGATTTCTTCTTGACGGCATGACATCTTTTCCTTCAGATATGATTTTTCGGTGAGTGTAGGATTACAAATCAAGGTTGGTCGGCGGTTGAGGTTTTGATGGTAGGTGTTGGGGTAAAATTTTGGTGGAGGTAGAAATGCTAGATTTTGAAAATTTAGGGTTGGGGCTAGGAATTGTAGTAGGATGATTTGAGTATAGTGATTTTTTATTTTTTGAATTTTAGATTGGGACAAGAGAGAAATCTTGGGTTTGTCGTGCTCTGATACCAGATGACATTGTTCTAGGATTCCTGAAAGGTATTTTTTAGGGGATTTAGGGGGAAGTAGTTGTGGAATAGCGAGAGAATGAAATATGTGAGTTTGACGATGTTTTGACCTGGATAGGAGTCGATCGTGTCTGCCCCAGTTGAAATAAACAAAGAAAACTCTGAATCATCAATGTTTGAGTGGTGAGAAGATTCTGCCATTGTTCCCGAGTAAGATATAGACACACTACTTGCAAAAGGAGAATGAATTAACACTCCTAAGGCAATAAATAAAAGATTATAATTTTTATAATACTCGAAACAAATCAAAAGTCCCTCTTAATCAGCCGAAACACACATAAATAAACTCATAATAGAAAATAACTTTAAATACAAATAAGAAAATAGGAAATTAATAAAAAAAATGACAAGGTTATTGCAAAATTTTTCAACTGGATGGGAACTTGCTCGTTCAATCCTGAGATCGCGGGAGGTCCCATTTCCATGGTATCGTGGAAATCCCGGTCCCGTGAATCGTTGCTCCCTCATTATAGCCATTTGAAATTTGAGTTGGGAAGGAATGAGATTGATGCTCAGCTTGGTGAGGGGATTCGGTTATGAGGAGTTGTCGCAGGTAACTGTGGTTAAGCATCTACAGTTGGCTGTTTGGCGTTAAGATCGGCTAGGCTAGCAGTAGCCTGAGGTAGGGATGACCGGTCTTGCTCTGAAGGATGTGCCATTTGGTTGTTGCTAAGATACCATGCAGAAGTAGCAACAAGCTATATTAAAAAAGATTGAGAAATATTGTGGTCTTAGGGACATGAATGATATTTTAGTATTCATTTTCCATTGGTTTGCGATGGGAGCAGAACAAATGGCGCTGTGCCTACTCGCAATTGACATGTTATATCGGCTTTTTAGTGATGTTGGCCGTTATACCATATCAATTAGAAAAAGTGCCAAGAATTCTTGCTTTTGCATTTCAATATTTAATTGGCAAAAAAGAGGGAAATGTGACTGGTACGGATTCATCACATTTTCTCTACTCCATAATTGATGAATACTTAGAACTTGAAAATTGCAAATGATTCGATTTCAAATTAACAGTCTAGGCTTACATTTTCGTACCTTTTTCAAACTTTGCATTTTGTTTTCTTTTTGCAGGTATATGAAATCACAGGTCTCATCAGTAGAGAATTTTTTAAGGGTTATAACAGCCTAAGTAAGCCAACCAAAATTGAGTGGAATAATCGGTAGGTATTCATATGTTTGTACTTTTTTTAATTTTCATGATATAGTTTTTTTTCCATAGGGGATTGTTTGAATAATTTTTATGCAGGGGTTTTTCAACATTCCATGCTATCCTTGTAGCAGCCATTTCCTTCTACTTGCTAGTTTTATCAGATCTCTTTGATGAGACTGCAATTGGTTCTATAGTACATAGAAAGTCATTATTGTCAGATTCCTTACTTGGGGTGAGTTGTCTTTACAGATGCCATTGACAAGGTGTGGTTTTTGTGGGTTAGTGCATATCTTGATACAGTTTATTTTATTTTATTTTATTTTTTTGGTGCAACAAAGAAACATCCATATATCTTTATCAATATCTTCATATAATATTATTTTGGCTGGTTTTTTGTTTTTTGTTTTTTTTTTGCGTTGCAGAAACATGGTTTTTATTAATTTTTTTTTACAAATTTTCTATTTATTTGCCAATTTTCTATTGATTTTGTCAATGAACGCCCGATTTCATTCCTGAGATAGGCTTGTTTTGGTGTAAATTCTTACCAATTTAAAAAAAAAAATTGTACATTAGTTGGAATGTATAGAAGCTATGTATGGACAGGATGAGAGTTTGGTTCTCCCTAGGGAAAATGCAAAATCCACTATCTTCCCAACCTGCCTAAACGCGCCATTAAATGAAGAAAAAATAAGATAAGGAGGAATATGAAGAAGGCACTTGCATTTGTGAGCTTGTGGGGTTATCTGATGGACGAATCTTTGGTTAGGACCAATCCGTTATAGCACCAACTCTTTGCCCTCATCCTCCCACTTCACCGGAAAGATTTTTCAATCAATGATGAAAGAAATTTCTAATTATTGTTTTCCCCTCGCAATAAACGTGTAATTATTCGATGTATGATCAACCTCCTTCAAAATATGATGGAAATATATTGGATAATGAAGGCTTATGATGTATTTTTTTTTGTTTCTCATAACCTCACCATTGATCATTTTTCTTAAACTTAAAATATCTCAATTTCAACTGATGAATTATCATTTTTATTTGAAAAACTGTATTTTTTAATAGAATTAACATGAATTGATTCATAATGTCAACAGAGATTTTTGTAATTTTCTTACAGTGAATGCTTCTATTGATATATGCTTGCACCAAATTTTCATGGTTTCCATTCTCAATAAATGTGTAATTCTTCCATTTATTTTTATCTTCCTTCATAATATAGTTGAAATATTTTGGATAAAGTAGATTTGTCATCTACTTGTTAGTACTGGTTACTTTTAACTTCACCATTGATCTTTTTTTTTTATTATTTCTGAAATTCTGCCGGAAATTTCTAGTCTCATTTGATGAATTATCATCTGAATGTCAACATCAATTTTTATTTGTGAAAAAAAAATTCCTTATTTGCATAAAGTGAATTTTTTCAGATATTTATGTGGAATCTTCACAATTTGTTCTCATGAAGTTTCCATTGCTACATGTTTTGCATTATATTTTCAGTTTTGCTGTGCATATTGCTTCAAAGCATCCTTATCAATTGCTATGGCATTTTAGTAGCCGTGGCAGACCACCAAGGCAGGCACTCAATTCAATTTTAAGCCACACAAAAATAATTAGGCCTTTGTCTAGTTCTTTAAAATCTGTTCATGCTAGGCTCCGTATTCATGAATTGTCATCATTTTTTCTTATGCTAACCATTTGGTGTGTGGTTATCGTGCATCTTAATTCTCTATTCATTCATGTTGAGTGCCGTTTGAGATATTAAATTCATTCCATACAAATTTTGTTCACAACTTATATATTTTATTTTGTCTTTATAAGTTGCTTTGCCTTGACAGCCAATTTCACTTATTTACACAATTTTTGAGTTCAAAATTTTAAGTCCAAGGTGAAAGAGAGTCATTTTGAATAAAAAAAATAAAGATATATTAAGGGTCTGTTTGGGGCAGCTACAACAATTTGAAGCTGCTGCGGGTAAACTGTGCGTTTGGTTGTTTAACTTATTTTGTGCAGCAGTTGTGCTGCAACTTTTTATGAAAAGAAGACAATTTTGTCATTGAATTGCTGTGGTGTTTATTAGATAGCTATTCTGGGCCTAATAACTCATACATAAAAATAAAAATTACATTTAGAATCTTAAAAAACTCACAAGTTCAAATATTACATCTAAAAGTGACATCTCACTTAAGACTAATAACACAACAATCAAAATAAAAAAATAAAAACACAAGAACAACAGGTAAAATCATTAAAATATTAATTTTGAAATCGAGAAGATAAATTCTTTCCATGCGTGCTCACTATCTAAGGTAGAATCATAAAACTAATCAGCACACCTAAAAAAGTCATTGTTCTCTCCTGATCTATTCCTTAGACACCTATAAAAATTTCTCGCATAACTATTTTCTCTTCTTAATGTAAGTAGGCAAAACTACAATCCATTGTTGCAGTACAAGACTCTAGAATTACCAAAGCACTCAAGCTCATATTTCCTAAAATATGAAAACCACAAACATAAAATTAGCTTGTATTAAGAGTACAAAAATAAAGTTATACGAGGAATTAACTAATAAAAATAACATAATTTTATAAATAAAAATTCATAAAACTATGATGTATTAGAGTAAATATAAACTAATGAATAATCTGTCTTTATAAAATGACAGAAAATCTTAAAAAGGGGATCTTGATTGTTTTTAAACCATGCAATACTGAGTTTGTACATGTCACAAAAGCATACCGGTACAAAGACCCTCTAGAAGAACTCTTGTATTCATATGATTAAAATAGAAGGGTGTCTTGGTTGCCTTCAACATTGTATGTCAGAGAGCATATTGTTGCAATAGCTTTCTAGAAGAATCCCAACAGTTATATGACTAGAAAAAAAGGGGATCTTGGTTTCTTTGATATCGATTTCATATATGTTAAAATCTATAACAACATAAATGCTATCCAGAAGAATCCGCAAGATCATATATCTCATCATTGACCTTCAAACCAAAAAAAAAAAAAAAAACCATGCAAAAAAAAACTTTTATTACACTCACAGTTGCCTAGGAGGCCATCTAAGTGAGATAAAATACAAGATGATAGAGTGAAAAAAAAAAAAACACCACAACAAATCATACAATATTCCACATAAGTATCATTGCATAAAGAGTCAATATTAAGAGATTAATGATATCTTCTTATACGATATCATATAAGCATCTTACATTAAATATTGCATATGTAATCTGCTATTGTAGCAGAATCATATCTCCAACACCCTTGCCATTTACGTATAAGCGTCACGCAGCTTGGAATTATTTGGTAATATTGACTCTCTCAAATGGTACTCTCATGCTTCTGGAGAAATAGTCGACCGATTTTTGTCAGCTTTATGAAAATCAATGTTTTATATTATAAGATGCTGACGAATATATGTGTGGAGAGCCATTATTGCAGCCATAATCTTCACCTGCTTTCTGGATGGATATGCAGGCATGTCTAGAAGAGTCCCCCATTTCTTTTTCCACGCTCTAAATATTCTCTCAATGACACCCCATTGAAAAGAGTGTCGCCTGTTAAACATTTTCTTTATTCCCTAACAACTTGGCTAGCCCGTTCAAAATCGGGGAGGTGATATCTTCTGCTAAGATATGCCTTGAGAAATCCATGCTGTAGGAGACAGCCAACATCAACCAAATAATATTTTCCTGAGTAAAAAAATACCATCATACATTTTGGCATATAAGCTAAGAAATTTTTATGTTCATGGTTTCTAACCTAAAGGTAGCATGGGAAGATTATGATAACAATTTCGCATAACAAAGTAAAAATCCGACTATCATGTGTACTGCCTTTCCATCCAATCATTATTAAAATAAAAAAATATGTTGAAATCATATACAACTATAACGTTTTGTGTAGGTGAGCCACACCTCCCGATATACAATTTTTTTATTTTGATGTACCTGTACATCAATATGTGTTCCATTAATAGCACCAATGCAATCCTATAAGATATTTACATTGATTGATTATATTTAACATACATTATAAACAACAGTGAATAAAATATATCTTAAAGTATGACATGTATATGAGATTATTCAAAATTTCTTTGGGTATCCTTTGAAATGTAAGGTCTTTTGTTGTAATGTTTTTTGAACCAAAACATCCAAGTCAGTTGAGAAATAACTATTAGTTTTTATCGATGAATGATGTAATTGCTCTATGACAGACCTGACTGACTCATTTTGTGATATAATATAGAGGGTTATTGCAAGCACTTCTCTCAAATTAATTTTGGAGGATCCATAGAAGCCATGATTTTGTTGCAGTCTCTCTAGTTGATTTTGGAAAACTTCTTGGGTCATGCGTAATATGTGAAATCTAATTAGGTGACCTATGTATGATGATTTAATGCAAGGTGTATGCACAATATATGAGTTACATTACTCATATATAATGCATATGATTGCTGTGATTTTTGTTTTCTGACGCAATCTTTCACTGCTATTCATTTATTTATCTTAAAAATAATTCAATATCAATAAAATGAGGAAATAACATCTAATAAACATATCTTACAATATAAATATAACAATGAATACATGCAGAGAATACATCAAAGCCGTTGAATGTTGCAATGACATTAAAAAACTTACGATTGTTGTAAAAAAAAATTAATGTAATCTGGCCTACGCTCAAGGTCTGAACACGAAAAACTCTCTTTATTGGATTTTTAACAACTTCATGAAACTCAAATATAGAGAATTTTTTTAAATAAAGTATGGAGTTTCTCATGGTATTTTCATAATTTCAAGAACAGATGGTGGTGGTACAATTGAAATGCTTGGCTCGGTGGAAACACTACTGCATGCAGGAACTAATTCTGAAATCTTATTTCATAGGAGTACTGTGCCATCTTTCTTCTTCCTCTCCCTCTTAGGGCGCAAAGATGGTTGGCTCCAAACACCATAAATTCTCTCTTTGTTGGATATTCCAACAATTTTATGACATACAAATACGCATAAACATTTTTTTAAATTTCTAGAGTTTCTCGTAGTATTTTCATAACTTATGGGAACAAATGTTGGTGGTGCAACTGAAGTGCTATGCGTGGTGGGAATACTAATGCATGCAGAAGTTAGATCATGAATCTTATTTTGTAAGAATAACGTGCCATCTTTTTCTCCCTCTCCCCCTAGGGTGTTAAGATAACCAATGTTTTGTATAACTAGA